GTCTGTGAACTCGTCTGTGAACTCGTCTGTGAACTCGTCTGCTCCCTGCAGTGATGATGGTGAACGGAGATCACAGGATCGGGATCTTTGCCAAGCGAGCCATCCAGACCGGAGAGGAGCTCTTCTTCGACTACAGGTCAGTAACAGACGGACGTCTTTTCTTTGAATCCCTGCGGAGCTTCAGTTTGTGAACTGTGTCTCTGACCCTGATGTCCGATCCCCAGGTACAGTCAGGCGGACGCTCTGAAGTACGTCGGGATCGAGCGGGAGTTGGAGATCGCCTGACTCTGACTCGTACCTCCTGTGGATCAGCGACACGAAGGCCTTACACACAAACACAAACCGACACACGCTCACTTCAGGAAATCCAGACCACTCGTCAACAATGCTAGAAAGCTTCAGGAAATCTGGGAATATTGTTTTTATACTTTTCATATCCACTTTTCTTTGTGTGAGGTTGTTTTTTTTTTTGTTTTTTTCTGCTGTCACCAAATCTTCCTGTTCTGTGGGATGTTCTTCTTCATGAACCTCAGCTGAAGCTGCACATCAGACAGTGAGAAGACGAACCTCGACCGTAACACTGGTTTCACTTCAGTGACCAAAACCCTTCACCAGCCGCTCACACAGCTGAAACTGTTCGTACCTGGTTTGTAAACAGTGAACTTACCCAGAAGCCCCGGTCTCTGTCCGATCTGTAGAACAGGGCCGTCACAAAGAAGCGTCAGATCAACCGTGGCCGCTGAGTTCTGGATTCCTGGATTAGACTCTGGCTTCGTGACGCTGCTTCAGGCGCTAACGTCACAAAACGGGAAACTCGACAAACGTTTGAAGCGTTGTTTCCTGGTCCAGAAGGTTTTTTCACTTCCTGTCTCCGCTGTCGTCTGCCTGTCAGCTCGTGTTTTCCTCGGCGGCTCCACTGTGCTCGACTCCTCCTCAGCTCCTGGTTTCTGCCTCGTCGTCACGTTGTTTCTCTGTTCAGGCCTCAGGTTCTCATCCGTGTGAAGAGACTGAAACTTTTCAGCTTCTTCTTCAACTCTGCTGTTTTTTGTTTCAAGGCAGTTTGTCTCCATGAAACTCAGGAGAAGATTCAAACAGCAGTTTTCGATCTGCTTGGTTTTTGGAAAATCTGGAAACAATATTCAGGTCGTCGGTCATTTGTAAAAATGAACACGTCAGTATCGAAGGGCTTCAAACTATTCGTCACCACATCGATGCATCTTTTCTGTTTAATCGTGTGATGCTTTCAAATGTCGTGTTTAACAAACCTTAAGAGCTTCGATTAAAAATGTATTTAAAACGAAGAAACTCTTGAAATTCTTCAAGTTTGAGAAACTAGATCAAACTCGGACGAGGTCGAGCACAGTGACGCCCGATGAGAAAACTGTGAGTCAGTCCCGAGGTGTTTGTCGAAGCCGCCTCGTCCCGCGCTCTGTGCCTTGTCACTCCACCGTGTTAGCTGTAGCTCATCGTTCTCACTGAGTGCATGATGACGTCTGTGCCTCACGTTACTGTACTGCCTCCTCCTGGTGACGTCCGAGCAGTAGAATTGAATCTCCATGGATTTCGGAGCATTCCTCTCGTTTCTTCTTTTACTAACGTACCAACGCTCGCTCTGACTCTCGCTCTCCTGATGTCTGATCCACTTGAAGCCTCACCAGCCTCTCCTCTCTTCACGGCGTCTCGGGATGAAACCCGGTGCTTCAGTGAACTGGTTCTGACTCTGACATGTTTGAGCCTCCAGACGGAAATGTGTTGGAACATTCAAATTTCTTTTTAGCTGCTGATCGTTTTCCTCGATGACTCAATCGACAGCAGCTGTTTTCGTTTAACGTTTAATCTGAAATCAGCGGCTGTGAGATTCTTCTTCTTTTTTTTTTTTCGATAAAGAAGCGTCTGTGATTGGACGGCTGAGAAACGGAGCAGAAGTTTCCACGTGTCCCTGAACGTGTTTTTTCTTCTCGCCCGTGATCGCATACCATCGTGGAGCTGGAGAGGAAACGTGTCGTGCTAACTTGTCTTTTCCTCTCGTCAGACCAGGACCACTTTCTTTTTTCCTCTGAGAACACAGGTGCTGATTTTTGTAACGTTTACAGGGATTCTTGTTGTTGGAAGTTAAGATAAAAATATTATAAATGGCCGAGCTTCTGGTTTTTCATTTGTATGAATGTGTTTGAGGAGCTTCTCTTCAGTTGTGACTTCACAATGAGAGAAAATCTATTCGCTTGAATTAACTTTTTAAATGAGATCATTTTATTGTTAAACTGCTCATTTCTCGAACATTATCATCTGAAGCCGTCGTCACAAATCGTCAGTCACGATTACGAATCTTTGACTTATTTGAAAGTTATTAAAATTCACTGTTCAATGATTTTCTCAGTTTGAATTTGAAAATGTTTCGGATCTGAACTTTTCATCCTGGAGCTCGTGTGTCGACGATTCTTCAGTCGTGGAGATCGTCTGCAGCTGCACGATCTCCACGACTGAGCCCAAAGTGCTCCGGCTGAAAAATACAGAATCCGTCTGTGATAAACTGAGATTCACAGTCGACTACATTTAATCTAGAATTCATAACCCCCCCCCAAAAAAACCTGTTGAGTTTCCAGAGTCAAAGGTTCCAGAGGAAACTCCACATGAATGAAATGAAACACAAACGTCATTGAACTGAGGTCGAAGCATCACAGAAAGATTCCAGCAGCAACGTGAAGTCAGCTCAGAGGGAAAACTCGTGGAGTCGAGCGTATAGAGAAATCTTTCCTTGTTTTTATTTATCACACATTTAGAAAATGAACCACACTATACAAATGTCCACCGTTCGGTAATGAAACAGGCCTCCTGCATGAACCCGACACGACTCCGGCAGATAAAGAAGCGTCACGGCGGCTCTCACCTCACCACCTCCTCCGCCAATAACTCGTGACCGGCGGCGATTTCGCGGCGGCGTCGTGCTGTGGACTGCGTCGGCTGCCCAGTGACTCGACTTTTATTTTTACTTTTTAAATTTTTCGTGGTCACCGTGGTGCAGGTAGGCAGTAGCATGCAGAAACCTTTGGATGCGGCTCTCCTCTGATTGGCTGTAGGCTAATTCATTACGTTTGCGCTATGTAAATAAGGGAATAGGGTTTGTTTTCCTCTTAGAGTCTGTGGTTATTTACAATATGACAACAAGGAAGTGTGATCGAGTCCTACGGACGGGACGGGACCGGCGAGCATGTAGACGGGGGTTCCAAGTCTCAACAGGAGGGGCGTTTGTTTCTCGAAGGCAGAGCAGAAAGTTCACGCCCTCCTGACCCGCCCCTCACGTTGATGGCTGTCAATCGGGGCGATCGCGTGGTCGGCGACACACTCACAACATGTCCGCCGCTCAGAGGGATCCACACTTTATTACTCAGACATAAAAAAACAAAAGAAGATAACAAATAAAAATAAAACTGAGGAGAGCCGGTGGGCGGGAAGGAGGGCAGGCGGGCGGCGCTCAGGCCAAGTAGCTGTACGTGTCCTTCTCGCCGTCCACTCGCTCCAGGTACTCCTTCTCTATCAGGATGTCGATGCATTTCTGTCCACAAGAGGGAGACAAAGCAAGTGAACGTCACCACAACGCTCAGCTGAAAACTTCTCAGCTGCAGGTTCGTCCACGACTTTACTGACGATCTGACACAGAAGAAGTGTGTGTGTGTGTGTGTGTGTGTGTGTGTGTG